TTGTTTGATCTACCGGCTACTCTTCTACAAAGATTAAGCATAAGCCTGAGGTCATGTTGCTGTCGGACAAGACGTCGTAAAACTAGAAGATTGTTAGCAATTGGTGTTTGGGAGAACGATAGGGTGTGAGTTAGAGTCAAAGTTCAGTGTACTTTGTTTCAAATATAGTGGATCGGTTTACTTTAGATTGTATAGTCCACGAGATTTTTTCCATGCAAACAGTTGATGTATTTTATCAACTGGGATTTCCTCGCAAAAAATCCTGGTGCAATCTCTCTAACCTTAACTTGCTTTACTTTACAATAGTTATATTTGTGATTGTGGATGTTTAAATTGATCATATAATTTAATCAATCATAAATTGAGCAAGTTGACCTAATAATCAGATCTAAGTCATTAAAGGAGTTAATCATAATTAAAATCAACTATTAACTTCTGCACCCAGCGTTAACACTGTTTTCATAGAGTCTACTCTTGTTAGGAGAAGTAACGGCTGGTGTGGTGTTGTCCTGCTGCACATCAACTTGTGTGGGTGAGAACATAGTGAATTGTACATGAATACCTATAGATTTCAGTGATCTTCCATGCTTGACAGGCTAAGCTCCATATGGATGCCATATCTCCGTACTCTTTGATCTGGGTGTGGCTGAATCATTATGGACCTTCAGAGGGTATGTAGGAGGCTTGCGAGCTAAGCATTTGTGTGGAGGTGGGACATGAGAGCGAGTTTTAGGTGAAAGTGGGTAGGGGAATGGTGGTTTCCGTAGGTTGGGGTGTGGTGGAAGGGCAGTTTAAGATGGTTGGGTGGTTTATTCCTATTCATCTCTCTTAGTTTCTTCTCAATGTTGCTCCAAGAAAATTCATGTATTTGACCTTAGTAACAAGAACTTGATAATACACAAATTACTAAATACTTATGAATGTCATTATTGATCTCTCTAGTTTCACACAATGACACAAGTAATATTTTGGTTAACCAAATAACCCAAGTAACCAATTCAATTTAAGGCTATTAATACTTTCTAGCATCTTAATAATTCATGATTGATCAGGAAGAACTCCTACTTTCTAGCATCTTCATAATTCATGATTGAAAATTTCATCTATGTTCAACTTTACAATTTTTGTTTTATCTTTTTTCCCCTTCAACATTAAACTAGCTAAAAGCCCCACCATGCAACAATCACCAGTTTACTTGCAAAATTACCGCCTCTACCATTTTACTAGACTTCTTCCTGAAATTGTTTTCCAGCTCTGTAAGTCTCTTCAAATGTCTTACTGTTGATCGAAGGTCATGCCTCGTCTTCTTACATGTAATTAAAACTTTCTCTGAGTTTGTGGTCGTGCCAATGCTAGTCTGTCTTTGATGCTTACATTGGTTGCTTTTTTAAGACAAGACTTGTTCCAAGGAATTGTAAATCTTGTCTAACAAATAATTACCTAAGTTATTATTGAGAGTTATGAGAAGAAGAGACATGTAACTTGAGTAGGGAAGACGTTAACGAGAGGGAGTCTTATGAAGTACTTGGAGAAGAACTCTAGGTGAAGAGTTTGTGTACATAATCCTGCTGTTAAATATTCTCCAATGTTTTAATATCTCTATGCACGTGACTCAAATTTTAGGTGAACCACGTAAATCTTGTATTTGGTTTGTGATTATTTTCGCTACCCATTACAGTTCCTTCAATAGATGGCTTGGCTTGTGAAAACTCTCTATCAGACTCATTGTCTCTCAGAATATTTTGTATTGCTAAGGCATTGGTACATAAGGATCAGAAGAAGAGACATGTAACTTGACTAGGGAATACGTTAACGAGAGGGAGTCTTGTTAAGTACTTAGAGAAGAACTCTAGATGAAGAGTTTGTGTACATGATCCTGCTGTTAAAAATTCTCCAATGTTTTAATATCTCTATGCACGTGGCTCAAATTTTAGGTGAACCAACGTAAATCTTGTATTTGGTTTGTGATTATTTTCGCTACCCATTACAGTTCCTTCAATAGATGGCCTGGCTTGTGAAAACTCTCTATTAGACTCTTTGTCTCTCAGAATATTTTGTATTGCCAAGGCATTGGTGCATAAGGATCAAAAAGTTTCCTTATCCTAATCCAATTAAATAAAAAATTAATGATTTATTTTATAATTCTATCTTAATCAATTAATTACAATAATTATAATTTAAGTGTATAGAAGATCCATATGGATGTCCAAAACGACTTTTGAGACTTTAGCCTACGCTAGTGGAACTCACAACTAAACGTCTATAAAATTTGTTTTAGCCGCCTAAATCTGGACTTGGACTTAGATACTTGAAATCACAACTAGACATCTACAAGTCATGCTTTAGGCTTCAACTTTTCAAGATTTGGTTTAGTTACTGGAATACACACATTAAGGCGTGCACAACACATCTTTTAGGCGGCTAAAACTCCTTAAAATAAGATTTATAAGATTTTTCAAGGCCAATGTGATTTCTAACCTTTTCATTGACAATTATACCCTTATAATGTTAATCAACTTGGTTCAAGGGGCAAGTCAATGGCACTAGAGACCTCAAAATTGTGTGATTCATTTTTTTTGTGGGTCGTCAATGGTGCTTTGTTTTGCCAAAAAAACATAAAAAGTTGTTTGTGGGTCCCAAAGTCTTTTGGGAATCGAGACTTGAGCTTTCAATCAAATAAATTGCTTTACAAAATAATCTAGTTCTTGCCAATTTTCTTCACCTTTGACTGCAATTTTAATCTTCAACTTGAAATTTTGTCACGTTTCATACCTACTCATTTACACTTGAATTCGTAATGTTTTTGTTGTGATCGGGTCACTCTGCTTACTCAGGTGTCTCACCCGCACACCTTGTGAGTCTAGACGTTTGGCATGACATCGAATTAAGAACTGAATTTACCTTTGATACCAAGCTTGACCATTTATTCAAAAAATTTAAAATATCGAATAGTGCTGCATACCAACCCATTTATATTCATATATTTTTCAATTTGGATCCAATGAGAGACAGGTTCCTCACCGTAACACTTGTCCAGTTGAGCATTGCCATTATCTTTTGAGTTCTTAAATAAAATCTAAATAATGAAAATAGAAAATTAAATTAACATGGTTTGCTATCAGCAAAATTACTCAAATGTCCTTAAGTTGAAACCTTCCACCCTGTTAGTTTTCTTCAAAGACTGGTTCCTTACTACTGAATTTCACTTTTGTTTTCTTCTTTTTTGTTGTTTTGTAGCTTCAATAGGCGTTTGTTTCCCTTTTTTTTTTTTCCTTTTTTTTTTTTTTGTTCTTCTTTTTCTATATAATTTAGTTTACGAGAAAGAAATGATAAAATTTCAAAACAATAAGTTCAGATGGGTATAAATGTGTTCAAAGTTCTGCTATATGTAGTAGCTAGCCATTTAATGGTGTTTCTTCGAGTTTTCAAAGGTTAAGGTTCCGTTTGGCGTTGATCTTTTAATGGAAAAAACTTTTTTCGATAGCACAAAACTATTATTATTAGTAGTAAACACGTTAAGTATTTGCTGGTGGAGAAGAAACGGTCAGATTTTGATCTTGTAAGTTGTCAGTAGAAGCAAAAGACAAGAAATGAAAATTTCTATCTAATAATGTAATGCGTCTCGTGATTTTTGTGTATTAGTTGGCAGCTTGATTCACATGTAGCTACACACACACACACACACACACACACACGCACGCACACCCCATACATGAGTTTTCCTCTGAATGTTTGGTTGTTGATATAATTTCCATAAACCAAACAAGGAAAGTGACGGCATTACCTTAAAATTCTTCAAGTGGGCAGCCTCAGACTCTTCTAGATAATTCAAAACTATACTAATTCAAAACAGAATCTAGGGGTTTTTTTTTTTTACCCCTATCTGCTAGATAATTAAGTATTGATAATATGCAATAAAATATATATGGCTGGCCTATATTCTGCTAAAAGGGGTATTCAAATGCCCCCACGGTAATCTAGCTAGTCTTCCTACACATGCACGACAATATATGTGTGCATATTTATCTACATATATATATACATATATACATTTTTTCAGTGACAACGCATTTGGTTGTTATGTTACCTGACTCTTCAATAATGGTCTTTAACCTATTGTGTCCAACACATAGTTAAGATCTGAGTATGAGATATATACCCTACATGCACTTGTGGTTAAAAATAATGTCGAGTAACTTAATTTTATTATATTATTGTTTCAAAATGAATAAAATATAAATATTAAATATTATGTTATCTAAAGATATTATTTTATTTAAAAATAAAATAAAATATTAAATAATATAAACACGTAGAAGCGTTTATGTACCTTTTTATTTCGAAATTTTACACATTCGAAGACAAGAAACCCACACAAGTACGCAAATCCAGCTGTTCATGTAACGCAATTTTTCATTCACTTCTTTTTTTGTCGCAACAATAGCAGTAGAGAACATATAGATTTTAAAAGTTAATATATATACACACACACATACAGATCGATTAACACAATATAGACAACTAATTATAATACATCTATTTTATCAATTGAGTATCTATTATGCCAATAATTTCACAATAAATTGAGTGTCTATGCCAATAATTTCACAATAAATTGAGTATCTATACCACTTCCTTGTGAATTATAATAAAAGAATTTCATAATGAATTAAGTATATATAGCTCTAATCTTATGAATTTGGAGGTTCAAATTCATCAGAATTTTTTTTTATTTTTTTATTTTTTTGATTGACTTCCCACGAATTAATTGGAATGCCATAAACTTAATTCCAAAGATTAATCATGGACAATAACATCAAAAAAGTGAGTCCGAATCAACCAAACTCTCTAACACCCCTAAAATATTTCTTATGATCCATATACATTAATTTTATCACACCAACGGAATAGTAGCCTAACGGTACCAGGCTCCTACTTTTTAAAGGGAGGTAAATGGTTCGAACCTCGGTGGAGGCATGTGTGTGTGAATACAACTAGACAACAAAAAAAAAAAAAAAAAAATGAAGAAGAAGGTACATTAATTTTATCACATAAAGAGGAGAAGTGTGGACGATGGGGCAAATTCGAGCTCCCTTGATATAGTGTATTCATTTTGTCTTCTCTCCTCTTCATCAACAATGGCAGCAGTTTGAGGAGAAGGAATGGTAATAGAGAGATCAAGGTTCAAATCTACCATGGCGCGATGGTTCTCGGCCTCTAGACAACTTCCAGCATCGGACAACGCCTGATCATTTTCGCCTTGGATTTTCTCTGGTGGATGTGATGCATGGCTTCTTGAAGCAGACGTTGTCGCGCTACCAGAGGCAGTACCGGCATTTGGAAGGCGGTGGTGATTGTGGCTCAGGCGATGATTATTTGGATCAATGCCCATTTTCACAAGCTTTCTTCTCAAGTGAGAGTTCCAATAGTTCTTCACTTCATTATCGGTCCGTCCTGGCAATCTCCCAGCAATCAGTGACCACCTGAGAACAAATTTGGCAAATTCAACACTTTGTACAAAAAGTGTTACAATATTATATGTAATATATGTATATGTGTAACAATAATAGGAATACTAGGAAGTGAATTTAGTTTGTAGGCACCTATTTTTGTACTATATTAAATTAGATCTAGTTACACTAATTATGGTTCAATTGTATCTATATATATATAGTATATACTAATTTAATTTTTTGAATTAGGGTTGCAAATTAAGGAAAAATTGTAGAAGGAGAGGGTTAATGTTAAGGTTATCGCACCGGTTGCCTAGGAGTGCATGGAGTTTGATGATGAGGTCTTCTTCATCTTCAGCAAAGTTGCCTCTTTTAAGGTCTGGCCTTAGATAGTTTATCCATCTCAGCCTACAACTTTTACCGCAACGAAGTAGACCTGATCGATCAACATGAAAATGAAAAATAATTAGTAAGAAAATTGCAAGAAGATTCAAAAGAAAACAATAAAATGTTCATATATCACTTTTTCTTCGAAGTTCTTAGAGAATTATTAATCTTCTAAAATGATGAACTCGTGTGCTTGTTTCCCTTAGCTTCTTGAATAAGGTTGAAGGATTATGAAAGCAGAAAAGAAAAATGTTATTTTAAAATTTACTTATTAATTAAACTCGATCAGTTTTCAGAAAATAGTTTTCTAAACGGACAAACATCTTTCCAAATGTATTTTGATTCCCAATTCTTTGTTTCTCTTAATGACTTTTTTGGATTGAGTTACAAAACCTGCAGCTTGAGGTAGTGTGCGCCAACAACCCTCGCCGTGAGTCTGAATGTACTCGACGAGCTTTTGGTCTTCTTGCTTGGACCAAGCTCCTTTGTTGGTGTCTTGCTTCTCACAGCAAGGTTTCCTCATAGTAGCTATATTAGAGAGAGAGAGAGAGAGAGAACGGGGGAAAGGAGAGAGAGAGAGTGGGTTAGATATGAGCAGTGGTGGTGGACATATATAATAGGGCAAAATAGTTTGTTATCTGTTATGAAGGAAGAGAAGGTTGACTTGGACCGGTGGTTTTCCCGCGCGTGAGTATTAATGGCTAGCTACTAGAAATGGATAAGGTGAAAATTGTCTACATGTTTGGGTGTTAGTTGCGGTTATGTATCACACTCACTCTCAATATTGCAAAATTGTGAGAGATGGATGACAAAAAAAGAAAAAGGGGATAATATGAATGACATTCAGGCGTGTTTGTTTCGATATAAAATATTTTTTTTAAAAAATAGTTTTTTTTTTTTTAAGTAAAATATTTTATTTATTTATTTATTTTTTTTGGTGTTTGATAAAGGTTTAGGCCAAGATTAAAGATAAGTTAATTGGGCGGGGAATGTAAAATAATTTACTGAAAATTGATACGTAAATTATTTTTGTTAAATTTTTAAATTTTTTTTTTCTTCGTAAATATTTTACTACAACCAAACACCACAAAATTAAAAAATATTTTTTAAAAAATATTTTACATCCAAACAAACGGAGCCCTAAAGTACTAAAATTTTTAAACGGTAATAAAATTAAGATTAATTTTTTAATATATTTTTTATGAGTGAAATTTCTATCGAATACTTAAAATTTTATCTCATTTTAAATGGAACTAACATTTTAAAGTAATATATAAAGGGACATTTTAGTCACTATCACATCACTTTGCAATAATAGGATAGTTCAGGGGTTTGTGCCTTTTTTTTTCAAAAATTTTGTGCCAAAAATTAAAAGTGAAGGAGAATTTTATACAATTTGTCCTATGTTGTATTATAATAAAAAAACTTAATTAATAAATACTTAATCCGTTATGAATTAAGTTTTACAAAAGACTATCAAATTATCTTGAATCTATTCGGGACATTTTAGTCATTATCACATCACTTTGCATTAATCTGATAATTAGTGGGTTTGTGCCTTTTTTTTTTTCTCAAAAATTTTGTGCCAAAAATTAAAAGTGAAGGACCACACACTTGTCCTTTCATTTTATTCTTGTTTGTTAGTCCTTTGTTTGATTGGTTCATGAAATTAGATGCAGTGTCTTAATCAACAAACACACCAAATTTTTTTTTTTTTTTTTTTTTCAAATCAATAACAAAAAAATAATTAAAAAAATACCTACCATGGCATGAAAATTGAATTAAAAAATATATATATATATTTAGACACACATATATAAAAGACACATAACAAGCAGTAGCCGAGCAACGAAGAAAAGTTGGCATTGTCACATGTTAGCGCGTTGACCGATAGTTTCTGATTATTTTAATCCATCAGACCAAACAACATGTCCACTCAAATCTATCAAAGGGACGTTTGTATTATTTTAGCAACAAAAAGTGTGTGTATCTATGCATCTGTATTTAAATTATTTGAACAGTGTCCCGTACTATGGAAGTAGATATGGATAAGACGGAGTATGAAATGATCAATCAACTAATTGAACAAGAAAAATATTAAAATAGAAAGCCGATATAGTTCTAGTATTTATTTATTTTTATTATTTCATTATTAAAGAGAGAGGGTTAAACAATCAATGATTAGTATCATCATTGATTCCCAAAAAAAACTTTTAGCATTGAAACAAGATTTACAAGGAAACCCTTCCAATAATGAAAAAACCTTGATTTTTGGCTTTAACCAATAAAGTCCACTACTAGCTGTATGTATTTTGTTACACACTTAGCTGTCTCACCCTTTGCATACACCCAAGCACAAGAATGAAAGCTAGTTTTCACAACCAATACACACACTAGTTGATATCAGTGCACACACACACTCCCCTTGTCCTAAGCACCCTTACTTGGACCAACAAAGCTCTTTCAACTCATCTCATACATCTTTACAAGTTGTAAACACAATGTTTAGCTTCCTTCTACAAGTGAAAACAAATCATTTAGCACAAAACACCAAGTTACTGCCTCAAAGACACTCAACTGCTGCAGTTAGGATTTGAGGGGTAAAATTGGAATTTCTCTTCAAGATTAATTCACCAGTAGCTTCCACAGTCTTGTCTCACTGAATTATTCATGTTTATAACTTTAAACAATCAATCATAGCATGAATATATATATATATATATATATATATATATATATATATATATATATCAAAGTTCAATCTCAGGTCTTGAACAACACACCACTATACTGTTCAAGGAGTTTTGCAAGGTCACAATCAGGCACTGCCTAAGTTTTGCATCATAGTCAATTTCAACAGCTGAGATTCATCAAAATAAACTTGGTAGCACATAGATAGTCCATAAAATAGCTGGCCTTAATCATTTTGTACTTGAATCACAACAAATATCAAAAAATCAAGCTTAATAACTGATCTAAGAATCCAAAAACCATTTCAGCATGTTTCAGTTCAAAAACAGGTAGTTAGCAAGTGTGAAAAGCTTAATTATACCTGTAACAGTCTTCAAAAATAGGGGACAAAATCTCACTACTCAGACCAGCCCTTCCATCAGCAATTTCAACAGCAGTAATATTATAGCAAGAGGAATTCACACAGGAGATGAGTCAATCAATTTTCCTAGCTTGGAATCATCATCAATTAGCTCAGAAAAAATTGTTCAACATTTTTTCTCGAGAGTTCTTAGTTGCAATGTCAATCTCAGTATGTTTATTTAGGCTTTTTTTTTTCAACCCTAGAGACTCTTATAACAGCATATATATAGAACAATGCAAATCATTGGCTACTTTTCATCTCATCTCTTACTATCACCTTTCAACCAATGATTATACATGAGCAATTCTGACATTCTCTCGGCAAAAGGACATTATTGCCTTTGATTTCTTACCATAAAGTGACACCTTGTGCACCAGCAGAAATACACTATACAGGTGAGGTACACTGAAGTACATTTCTTTGCTTAGCCTCTAAGCTCTGCAGCATCATTGGAGGACTATATTTATGGATCACAACCACATGTCACACTCTTGAGTATACCAGAGAAGCTTAAAAACCACCCATGCAATAGTTGTATATAACATTCAGTATAATACATTTGCTGAAGCTGTATTAGTCACAATGTAGTCCAAGATACTGCTCTTCAGTGCAATACAGCTAGATAGGCATACGAGATTTCATAAAATACATCTGAGAAAGTACTAAAATACCCCTGTAAACACCTGTAGCAAGATCCTTATATACTGAATTCTACTGAAATCATCTAATTTAGCTAAATCAAGTGTACAGGCACTACCATGTAAATGACAATTTAGCTAAATCAATGAGAAAGATCTGCCACTACCATGTAAATGACACTGTTGCCCCAGAACATATATTAAGCCACAATGTAGATGGACAAGGCACTTAAACTCACTGAACCAACACCTTTTTATTTCTTTTTGGCATTAACAGGCAAACAGGTCTTTAGAGAACCTTAGGTTCAACAATCTCCCCCTTTTGCCTTTAATGACAAAAACTTTGATGTAAAATAAGACCTCGACCATAGAGAGTCAGATAACAAACATAATACAACCAAACACTCATTAAATGATAAGAATAGCCTAATACTATCCTTATTTCAGTCATTTTCTCCCCCATTTTGACATTGAAGGTGAAAAGGGGAGTAGGACCAACAATATTAGGTTCAAAGAGGTGGGGGAACAACCCTAAGAAGAGCTCTAAGGGTTAAAAATCTGTGAGGAAGAAGAGGTTTGGTCATGATGTCTGCAATTTAATCCTCAGTGGGAAGATAAGTTATATCAAGTAGGCCTTTTTGAACTTTATCTCTGAGAAAATGATACCTGATATCTATATGCTTGCTCTTCCAATGCAAGGTGGGGTTTTTACTGATGGCAATACCACTTTGATTATCACAAAAGAGCTTGGGAGGCATAGAGAAGTGAAGTCCAAGGTCTGTCAAGGTAGACTGCATCCAAAATAATTGTGAGCCAGCCTGAGAAATAGTTATATACCTAGCTTCTGAAGTAGATAGAGAGACTGTGTCTTGTTTTTTACTGAGCCAAGAGACAACATTAGAACCAAGAATGTAACAGCAACCAGATGTACTTTTTCTATCTGGTAAGGATCCACCCCAATTAGTATACGAAAAGGCAGCTATAGACATTGTAGGTGAGCAAATGTAGTGTAAGCCATAAGAGATTGTGCCCTTAATATATCTGAGAATTCGTTTGGCAGCTTGAAGATGAGACATTTTTGGATTACTTTGAAACCTTGCTACTAATCCCACTGAGTACATTATATCAGGTTTTGAGGCTGTGAGATACAGTCGACTCCCAATGATAGACCTGTATAGTGTTGGAGGAACTACTTCTGAAGTATAATCAAGTGACAGCTTGGTATTGGGACATAATGGTGTTGAAACAGACTTGTTATCACTCATGTTAAATTTCTTAAGTAACTCCGAGGCATATTTCTGTTGTGAAATAAAGATCCCTTTGAATGTTTGAGCAATTTGCAGCCCTAAGAAATACCTGAGAGTACCCAAGAGTGACATTTCAAACTTGTCTTTATAAGATTGGCAAATTCTGATGCTAAAGAAGTGTTTGATCCATAAAACATGATATCATCTACATAGATTTGTAGAATCAGAAACTGTTCTTGATGAATTCTGACATACAATGTGTTATCAACCTTGCCTCTATGAAAGCCTTGTTCAATTAAGAACTAATGAAGTTTTTCATACCAGGCCCTAGGAGCTTGTTTGAGGCTATACAAGGCCTTACTCAGTTTGAATACAAGTGAAGGGTATCTAGAATCTTCAAAACCTTCAGGCTGCTCTAGATAAACTTCTTCATTTAGATCTCCATTTAAAAAAGCAGATTTGACATCCATTTGGTACACTTTGACTTGTTTGTGACATGCAAAGGACAGTAGCATTCTTATAGACTCCATTCTAGCTATAGGAGCAAAGGTTTCATCATAGTCAATACCAGCTTGCTGTGAATAGCCTTTACACACCAACTTTGCTTTATTCCTA